AACGCCAAAATCTAAAACACGCATTAGCAACAGATTATTCTTCCAAGAAGATGCCGCACACGCCGTTTAGTGCGTATTTATATGAAAAATATTCATTTATCAACTGATTTAATAAATAAAAATATTTTGAAATCAGATAAATTGGGAGACTGGAACCCAATCAAAACATTTACTATTCAAAGATTTAAAAATTACAACTGTGATTATACATAATTATATCATCTATATTTTTAAACTGTAGCGTTGTCTTTGATTTGTTCATTATAAACTATACTCAATGTAGTTATATTCAATCAAGTCCTTCATTTCATGTATATAAAAGTGTTACCTTTATAATTGTAGTACGAGTACTTTGTTCTAATGTATGTACAGTAATGTAATGTACAGTAGTTGTGTGATATCACATGGAGAAATAACAGTATAATATAATATACTTCTAGAGTACAGAACAAAAAAGAAAATATATAGTTGAAACAAAATATTAAAAATTATTCTCTTTACTACCGAAAAATATATGTATACTAAATTTATAAAAAATGTCATGTTGCAAGTGACCTTGAACAGATGTGTAACATTCGTAACTAGTATACAAATTGTTTCAATGAATGACAGATGTAGAACTTCAACATTCAACACAGGCTCTCAGGGCGAAGTCACTTGCCTTTCATCACTGGGGTTCCGGGTTTGATTCGTGTAGAACCTCATGTGAAATTTTTTATGACAAAATGAGTTTGCCTGCTTCACAGGGGCTACCCCAACCGCTGTGAAGCATCCTAAACCTTACTCCTATCCTTATTCCTTTCCGATTCTGACTGATGGGTAGATGACGTAGTGCATGTGCGAGATGCGAGTGCTAAAACTCTAAGCTAGTGTGCTTTCGAGGCCTCATAGGCTTGAGAATGTTGTCGCAAAAAGGAGACGGAAAAAAATTTAATAATAATAAAAAAATCTCCCTTAAGAAAAATCATATTACTATTCTTTCCTGCAAGTTATCACACTCAATGTTTTACTCTTTTCATCATGGGTGTGGTCAGGTAATTTAGGGGTGAGATAAAATTTTAGGTCTTAATTTATGTTAGCAACAACATATCAAAAAGGGTAGGCAATAAAAAAAAAGTTTTTGCATGTGTTGTTGTTATAGATGTAAGCAGACAGTTGTATTCATGTTATAAATAGATGTAAATGTGAGTTGTATTTATGATATTCCATAGAGGAATATTGACCTACAAGTAATGAAGATATAGAAACATAATATTTGCCAATTTTTTATTGTGCATTGTGGTCTTATGCATACCATGACACTTAAATTGATATTTCTGTAATGTTTCTCTCTTTCAAATAGTCTCCTATATTGTGTTTAGATTACAAATGGAAACAAAACAACTGTATATATTATTAGGCCCATATAAACAACTTTGAAGAACCATAATTATTATTATTATTATTATTATTATTATTATTATTATTATTATTATTATTATTATTATTATT